CAGGTCCACTCAGGAATCCTGATTTGGACAAGGGATGCCAGAGTCAGGAAAGCCTCCTGGCTCCTCTCTTGAATATCCTCCAAGACTAGGGGAAATTAGCCAAACGATTTTAGTTTCTGCTATGAATTTATCTTCTCCAACAATATAAATCTTCCTCTTGTAGTGTTTTATCTTGATCCCAGCAAAACTTTGAGAATAGTTAGGTTCTACGTGTTTACTATTCCTGAGTGAAAAGTGCTATTTTTACTTTGCCCTAAAACTATTTCTTTAGCATGCTAAAGTTGTCTGCAGTTCTTATGTTCTGGGATTTAATAAGTTCATGTTTTTATCCTGTGATTTTCATTGTTTTATTATTTTCAGTCATATCCCTCTCTTAGCCTGTGTCTTTCCAGAATCAAGAGCCCTATTTCTTTTATCATTCCTCAAAAAAGAAAGAAAGAAAGAAAGAGCTCTCTACCATCTTGATCAAATGAGGTGTCCTTCTCTAGACTTTGTCTGGCTCTATGTGTCTTGAAGTACATCAGATCATCAGGCCCCCATCACTTTATCTATTATTATGTATAAAAGAGCAGACTGACCTCAGCTAAAATGTAAAGACATTTGAGAGCCATCTTTAAAAATCAAACAATTCTTTTGCTCAGTGTCAGCTCAGCATATGCTGAAAAAATATACAATTTTGCTTCAAATCTGAAATTAATTTAAACACACTGGTACAAGGTAACCTTGCTGTTATGGTCCAGACCTAAAATGTCCCCAAAAGCTCATGTGTTGGAAGGCTTGGTCCCCAGTGCAGCAGACTTCAGAGGTGGGGCCTTTGGAAGGTGAATGGATCATGGGGGCTCTAACCTCACTGGTGGATCAATCCATTGGTGGATTCATAATTTACCATATGGTAGAAACTCAAGATAGGGCCTAGTTTGAGAAAGCAGATCCTTAAGGGCATCCCCTTGAACATTCTTTTCGACTCCTTCCCCTTCCTCTCACTCTCACTTTCTCCATCTCTACTTCTCTGCTTCCTGGATGCCCTGAGATGAGCTGCTTTGCTCTACCATGTGGTCCCTGCCATGATGCCCTGCCTCACCACAGGCCCAGAGACAATGAAGCCAAAGTGACCATGGACTGAAACCCCTGAAACTGTGAGCAAAAATAAATACGTTAGSGGGCTGGGGTTGTGGCTCAGTTATAGAAGGCTTGCCTCGCATGCATGGGGCACTGGGTTTGATCCTCAGCATCACACAAATAAATAAAAGGTATTGTGTCCATCCATCTAGAACAAAAAATTTAAAAAAATAAATGCTTTCCTTTTAAGATGATTTCTTTCAGGTGTTTTGTCACAGCAGTAAAAAAYTGACTAATGCATTTGTAATCCTTTATGAAAATGACAACTTGCAAAGCACTTTCATGTACATCATCTCATCCACCCCTCATGAACCATGCAAGGCAGAAAGGAAAAAAAAATTATATTACAGCTCATATGAAAAAATAAATAAAAAGGTGAATGTAGTCCAAGATCAAAGAGCTGGAATTAGAGCCAGGTCCCTGGTCCCCGATGATAGCTTAGCCACAGTGTGATACATCCTTTCTTTTAATCACTTGTTACTTACTTTAAATCCCCAAACTTCCCCCTCTATAAGTCTCTTTCAGCGTAGCCATAAAATAGTTGGCAGCTCTACTGAAAAGAGCAGATCATGACTGATCTAAACCCTCTTCCTTTCTTACTCCAAAAACTCTCCATGGGTCATCTCAGCCACACCAAGGACATCAATATCACCGTGCAGATGACTCCCAAATATGCAGCTCTAGCACACYTCTCTCCTGAACACCAAGAGGATAGATCTTCCTTAACCTCCCCAAATTAAGACACCCCCCATTACCTCAAAACTTAAGTAAAAATGTACAAAACCTAAATCTTCTGCGTCATGATACCTCTCTGCTGCCAAAACCCAATTCTCTTTTGCTATTCATCCTCTCAGACACATCCAGGAAGTTAAGAGTCATGTGGACACTTTCCTCGCCCCCTCCTCCTTGCCCTATCCCCAGTCTAACCTCAGGGCCCTTCATTCATCTCCTACATGGTTCTCCTTTCCGTCCACTTCTGTCCTTTCCCATGACCACCATCAAAGTCCAAGCTCTGAAGATCTCTCATTGGACTTGAATGGGTTCTTCATTGGTCTGTTCCTCTTCAATCCCTTTTCCTCACTATAGCTGGAGGGATTCTTCAAGAGATGGTCCTCAGAGAGAACTTCCTTGACCACCACCCCCAAATTAAGACCCCCCATTATGATTTACCTGATTCCAGTTTAGCCTGGTTTTGTGTGATTGATTAACGTCTGTCTCTCCAACTAAATTTATAGCTTCTGCTCACTATGTACCCCTATGCTGGGCTGAGTTTGACACAWAAGTGTGTGTTTAGGTGAATAAGCCATAGATAAGGATAGGATTACACACACTGTACATCCTCACTATGGAATACCAAGCAGGAGTTAAACAGACTGAGATTGCTCTATATTTACTAACATCAATGACATCCATGATATATTATTGATCAAAAACAGCACATTAGGGCCAAAGATATAGCTCAGTGATAGAAAGTATGCTTAAATTAAAAGCCAGTGCGTTGTAGAACAGTGTGTACTATTTTTAAATCTATATATACACACATATATCTTGATTGTAAAAAGAACCTCTATGGGGCTGGGGCTGGGGCTCAGTGGTAGAGCACTTGCCTAGCATGTGTTAGGCACTGGGTTCGATCCTCAGCACGTRTAAAAAATAAATAAAATAAAAGTATTATGTTCACCTACAACTAAAAAAATATTTTTAAAAAAAGAAAGAACCTCTGTGTGTAAAGTATGTATATGTATCAAAAAGGCTTGCAAGACTAATACCAAACTGTTACAGTGATTGCCTTGGAGAATGGGAATGAGAAAGGGTAGGGAAAACCAGGGTCCCGATTTGTACTCATAAACTTCTGGGTGGCTTGACTTTCTTCAGTGACCATGTGATATTATTGTCATTACTTTTAAAATAAGGTTTTTAAAATAATGCTACAATTCACAAAAGCTCAGGAACCTGTCCACTTCTAAGAGCAGTTAACCAAAAGAGGGGGACCACATTTGTTTTGAATTGCTCAACAATGATAAAGTTCCAGAAACCAGCGTCGAGCCGGCTCAGACTTCTGATTCAGCAATCAGCCCTGCTGATGAAGCGCACAGCCGGAAATGCCAGGGTTGATTCAATTAGGCCTCGGCCTCGGGTGACTTTCGTAAACAAAACAGATTGTGAAAAATCACTGCTCTTTGATTCCCTTTTACGATCTCAGAAGGAAAAATAAGGAAATGAAATGACAACATGGGATTTTCCTGGTTTTCTCGTATTTTGGTGGTGGTGGTTAGATACAGGTGAGTGTGGGAGGGCCTCCCTATTTCCCTTCTCTGGCCAAATAGCAAAGCTTTTATTGTCTCCACTGTAGCTCAAGATGGCTTTCTAAACTCARAGATTTCAGAGGAAGGAGAGGACGGAACATGCTGGCGAGGTGCAGATAGGCTCCTTCTGTGGCTCATCGCAGAAAACCTCCCTCTGGTTGCCCAGAGAAGCAGGTGCAGGTGGACGGGCCCACGGGTTCTGAAAAAGACAAGGCAGGTGTGTGGGTGGGAGCCGGCAGCCAGCCTACCGGGAGGCTGGGGAAGTCTGTGAATTCAGAATAAATACTGTCACTGGGAGCCGCATTGATTCTTTTTTCAGACTAATAGCTCAGATGGTAGAGCCACCCGACAATGACTAAAATATGAGTCAAATGCTTTCAAATCAAACCATCCCATGAAACAGGAAGACAGGCGAGCCGAGAACCAGTCATGAGGGTTCTAGCCAGTGCTCGTTACCCCTGAAGAATTCACTCTCCTGAGTCATTCTGACACCAGGGAGCTGGGGACGTCCTATCTTTATTGCCTGTGACACCAGGGATCAGCTCAGCGCAGTGAAAAGGGCGGCCCCGGCCAGGCTGGGCCCCCCGGAGCTCTCCCCAGTCCCGTTTGTCTTCCTTCTCTCCCAGGGTCCACCCCCATGTCTTCATGGATGCCAGAGAGAGTTCCAAAATCACCCTCCAGTGGAGTTTCTTGAGATCTTTAAAAACCAACCTTCATTTGAATATAAAGAGTCCCATGAAGATGAAGTGGGGCTGGGAGAAGGCAGAGGAGGAGACTGGAATCACTCAAGGAGGCGAGGGCAGGAGGGGGCAGGAGGGGGCAGCCAGTGCCCTGAGCCTCTGGGAAGCACCCCACGGAAGTACCACGTGGGCCCACGAGAGACAAGGGTTTCCCTGCCGTTTCCCCCTCCTCCTTCTGCAGTCGTCCAGATTTCAAATTCTTTCCCCAAATGTTCACCCTTATTTTGATTCTATTTAAAAAAAAAAAGAAAAAATCTCTTGGTAACAAGATCCTGAGAAGACAGGTGTTTTTAAATGGTCTGAAGTACTTAAGGGAAAGCAAAAACTCTCACCACGTCCTCAAAAGTCCCCACAGGTCCCCACAGGGCTGCTGTGAGTGCCGCCTGTTTTGACCCCACCCCGCTCCCACCTCCAGGTGCTCCTCGACTCACGCACCCATCCTTACGTGAAGCGTGGTCCAAGACACTAGACCTAGGGATCATTAGCCCAGCAGTGTGGCCATGGTTGCCCGCAGGGGGAAGGGGCCGCCTGGGACCTGGGACCAGCTGCCAGGCCCAGCATCACAAGGCAGCATCCCAGTGCTAGAGAGGGAGAAGGCCAAGATTCAAAGGCTTTCACCCCGTCAAAAGTGGGAACATCTAGGTCCGACCACCAAGGGCCCTCTGAGCACCCCGCAGACCAGGACGTGGCCCGGACGGCAGCTTCCTGAACTCGGCACTCCGCACACACTCTGTCTTTCTGGAATCAATTCACTGGGAAGTCAGGGTAACATGTTCTCTTTTTAAACTTTTTAATATGGTAAGACATAAATAACGTAAAATTAACGAGTTGAACCATTTTTATTTTAACCTTTTTTTCCATTTTAAGCATTTTACATGTATAGTCCAGCGGCACTGAGTGCATTCCCACTGTCATGCCACCGTCACCACCATCAACCTCCAAAACCTCTTCCCCTTCCCACTCCAAAACTATATCCATTCAGTAACTCCCCATTTTTCCCCTCCTACTGGCAACCACCGTTTTACTTCCTGTCTGCCAAACTGACTCCACTAGGTTCTCATATAAGTGGAATCACGGAGTATTTGTCTATTTATTTCTGGCTTATTTCACATGTAACATTCTCAAGATTCATCTACGTTGTAGCAGGTATCCAAGTCTTGTTCTTTTTTTAAGGCTGAATAATATTCCACAGTATGTCCATACWATATTTTACTTATCCATTCACCAACTGATGGACATTTGGGTTGTCTCCAGAGCAATATGTTTTTAATTTAATCCTATGATTTAAGAGCTTCAGGTCATTCAAATTCAGTTCAAAGTGTTTCACATTTACCCAGGTTCAGTCACTATGGGAGATGGTGTGAGAAGTCAAAAAAAAAAGTGAATCAGACATGATACTTGTTCTCAAGGAGCTTACAATTTACTGGGAACGGAGGAAAGAAAGAAATTAAGTAATCTGCTGATTACTTTCATTTTGCTAATCCCTTACTGCCTACCAGGTGCACTCCCCTATCCCTGCCGGTATTGCTCACAGTAGCTCTGGGAGGTAGACATTGTATGGAATAGCCCCTTTGCACTGAGAAAAATGAATGTAATACCTCCACAGTGGATTCAGACCCGCTTCTTGGCCCTTACCCAGGCCACACCCTATGWCAGTCAGGATGTAACAGGATCCTGCAGGAGAAGCTACCGGAAGGCAGCAGAGGAAGAGGAAAGGGGCACAGGAGGCCTCAGGGGTCAGGACGGCCAGTGTTGACAGAGTGAAGGAGAGAAGGGAAAAGATCAGGGACTGAGGAACTACAGACATGGGCTGGAAAACAGAGACAGCAAAATCACGGCCATAGTCCAATGCTGGTTCCAGGGCTCTGAACTGCACCGTGCAAGCCACAGTGAGCCACTGCAGGTTTCCTGAGGCAAGAYGTAGAACCATGCATCAGGAAGACCACCATGGAGCAATGCATGACGCAGAYGGAGAGGACAGGGTAGTTCAAAGGTAGGAAGCCAGTGAGAAGATAGCGGAAACAGCAGAGGAGTCGATTAGGACGGAAGGGAGGATCTGGAGGTGASAGAGACCGCAGAGCGGGAATGCAGGACCGGCAGCGAGCACGTTTTGTACAGGGTGACCCTCCATCCTGCTGCCCAGGACGCCTTTATCTGGTGCAATTACTAASAGCACCCTTCTACTCTCAGAAAGGTCCAAGTTTGGACAATACCCTCCATGGTCACATTAATTATGAGCAATAAGAAGCCAGGACCACAGGCGACTTCGGATTTTAAACCTGGATTAGTAAGAAAGGTGGTAACACCTTTAGAAACACAGGAGGAAATCAGGTTTTGGGGAAAGAATGTGAGTTTGGATTTGGACATGCTGAATTTGCTGCAGAAGTAAGGATTTATTTAAGAGAAAGAAGAACCTTGCCCGTGGATTTGCGCTGTATCACGTGAAGGAAGGCATCATTGACCTAAAAATAAAACAAAAACGTGGTCAGACTTGCACATATGCATACTGCAACAAATGTCTCCTGATGGCTAAAGTCTAAAATGGCTGAAGTATTCAGATGTGTCTCCAATAAACTATTCAGTGCTAACTAAATAATAATAATCACTATAAATACAAAGGATAATAATAATATTTATGAAAAACCTACCCTTGGTATTTCTCTCTCTCATATTCTTTGGAGTTTGTTGTTTATTTCATTTTGCTTTGTTTTTTGGTACCGGGGATTGAACCCACTGAGCCACATCCCTAGACCTTTTTTTTATTTTTGCACTTTGAGACAGGGTCTCACTGAGTTGCTTAGAGACTTGCTAAGTTGCTGAGGCTGGCTTTGAACTTGCGACCCTCCTGCCTCAGCCTCCTAARCCTTTGGGATTACAGGCATGCTCCATGGCCCCAAGCTCCCTATCATTTTCAATGATGTCAGATAAATGTTGGCAGATAAAGAGTCCACAGGCCAGTCCCCACTCACTGTGACAGCTCCATCCCAGCTGCCCCACTTCAGAAGTGTTCCAGCTTTTGAAAGAATGAAACCTCTGGCAGAAGAATAAAAACTATAATGTTTGGTGACTTTTTTTCTCTTTTATTAAAAGTGTCCTATTTCTTATGTAACTGAGATTAAAATCAACTGCAAATTTTTTTTTCCTCAAAAATGCAAGGTTATAAAACAAATTAAAAAGCAGTTACAGTGATCAAGACAGTGTGATACTGGTGAAAAGAATACAAAAATAAATTAATGGAACGGAAGAGACATCCCCAAAATAGGCCTGCACAAGTATAGTCAACTGATCTTTGACAGGAGTAAAAAAAAAAAAAAAAAAAAAAAACTTAATGGGGAAAGCATAGTCTTTCAAAATATAGTGCTGGAAAAACTGTATACTATACACACGTGCAAAAAAAAAAATTTAAAGATCTAGATACAGGCCTTATAGCCCTCCCAAAAATTACCTGGAAATGGATCAGAGACCTAAATTAAAAGCAAAATTATAAAAATTTCCAGGAAAAAAAATAGAAAAAAAATTTAGGTCACCTTTGGCTCAGCAATAAGGTTTTGGATATAGCACCAAAAGCACAATACATGGCAGGGGAAGGGGGGATTTGGTAAATGGAATTTACAAACAAGGTCTCAGCAGGGAGAAAAACTTTGCAAAAGACATATCTAACAAAGGATTTGTGTCTAAAATATACAGAGAATTCTTAAAATGCAAAAACAATACAATGAAACAAAAGGCAAAGATCTGAACAGACACCTCACCAAAGAAGACAGACAGATGGCAAATAAGCATATAAAAAGACGCTCAATGTAATACATCACTAGGGAATGGGAAATAAAAACAGCAATGAGAGGCCACTGCCCTCCTATCAGAAGAGCTAAGATTCAAAACACTAACACCAAATGGTGGCAAGTATCTGGAGCAACAGGAGCGCTCATTCACTGCTAGTGGGCATACAAGGTGGTACAACCACTTTGGAAGACAGCAGGCAATTTCCTACAAAACTGAGGATACCTTGAACCGTGCAATCCAGCCATCACACTCCTAGGTATTTACCCACAGGAATTGAAAACTTAGGTCCACACAAAAACATGTACCTGAATGTTACAGCAATTACCAATTGCCAAAACCTGGGGGTGTGAGACAAAATGTCTTTCAGTAGGTGTATGGAAAAGCAAACTAGTGTATCTATGCAATGGACTCATTCAGTAACAAGGAGAAGTGAACTATCAAAACACAAAATGACACGGAAAAACACTGCTAAGTGAGAGATTGTCTTCTTTCATTTAGCAATCTGCATGCAATCTGAAAAGGCTACATTTCATATGATTCCAACCATATGACATTTAGGAGAAAGCAAAACTGTGGAGGCACTAAAAACATCAGTGATTGACAGATCCAGGAGTGGAGATAAGGATGAACATATGGAGCTCAAGGGATCTCAGTGCAGTGAAGCTATTCTGTGTGATATGTAATACTGGATACAGGACGTTATACATTTGGCAAAACCCACAGAAATGTACAAAGAGTGAACTCTAATGCAAACTATGGACTTTATTTAATACCATTAATGTATCAATATTGATTCATCAGTTACAACAAATGAATAATACCAGTGTAAAGTATTCATAAGAGTGGAATCTTAGGGCATGGAAGAGGGAGTACATGAGAACTCTCAATACTCTGTTGATTTTTTCTTAAAACTGCTCAAAAAAGTCTACTCATTTTTTCAATAAAATAAATGATAAATGCAAAAAATGAAATTTAAAAAAGAATGGAATATGTAAAAGTATCATTATTTGCAAATAATGAAAATATAATTTCAGTTATGTAGGAATCAGAAAAGTTTTAATAAAAGTTAAAAATCATAAAAAGTAGTATCATTATCAGGGCTGGGTTTGTGGCTCAGTGGTAGAGCACTTGCCTCACACGTGCGAGACCCTGGGTTCAATCCTCAGCACCACATAAAAATAAACAAGTGAAATAAAGGTGTTATGTCCAACTACAACTAAATAAAATAAAATAAATATATAAAAAGTAGTATCATTATCTATACAGAAAAGCTGTATAGAAAGGTCATCAAAACTATGAAATACAAAATTGGTTTATACTAAAAAATTCTTTCACAGCAAAGGAAACAATCAAGAGTGTGAAGAGAGAGCTTACAGAATGGGAGAAAATCTTTACCACCTGCACCTCAAAACATTAATCTACAGGATATATACAGAACTCAAAACTTCACAGTCCAAAAACCAAAACCTAAAAACACAATCAATAAATGGGCAAAAGAACTGAACAGGCACTTCCCAGAAGAAGAAATATGAATAGTCAACAAATATATGAAAAAATGTTCAACATCTCTAGCAATTAGAGAAATGCAAATTAAAACTCACTCAAGTCAGAATGGCAATTATCAAGAATACAAGTAACAATAAATGTTGGTGAGGATGTGGGGAAAAGACACTCATATTGCTGGTAGGACTACAAATCCATGCAACCACTCTGAAAAGCAGTATGGAGGTTCCTCTTAAAACTTGGACTGGAGCCCCCATTTGACCCAGCTATCCCACTCCTCAGCATTTACCCAAAGGACTTAAAATCAGAATACTATAGTGGCACAGCACATCAATGTTTCTAGCAGCTCACTTCACATATCTAAGCTATGGAACCAATCCATAAACCCTTCAACAAATGAATGGATAAAGAAAATGTGAATCWCACACACACACACACACACACACACACACACACACACTGGAATATGACTCAGTCGTAAAGACAATGGAGCTATGTATTTGCTGATAAATGGCTGGAACTGTAGACTATCATGCTAAGTGAAATAAGCCAATAGCCAAAAACCAAAAGCCAAATGTACTCTCTGATATGCAGATGCTAACACCCAATAAGGGGGTGGGAGGGAAGAATAGAAGTACTTTGGATTAGACAAYGGGTAATGAAGGGAAGGGAGGGGAGATGGGAAGAGGAAAKACAGAATGAATCAGACCTCACTTTCCTTTGTTCATACCAGTTTAACTCCACATCATGTACAACAACAAGAATGGGAACTTACACTCCATGTATGTATGATATGTCCAAATACATTCTACTTCTTGTATAACCAAAAAGAATTTAAACATTTTTTAAAATAGTTTATAAAAATTAATGACATTTCTCTATGTCAAAAACAATCAACTTAGAAATATAATAAGTAAAATATTGTTCTCAAAAGCAACAAAAACAAAATATTTGTAATAGATATAAACAATAATAAAATCAAAACCTTATAGAGAAAAACTTTAAACCCATTAAGAGACATGAAAGATCTTAATGGCGATTTATCCCTGTTGACAGATGGGAGAAGATAGTAAAAAAATATTAATTTCCTGTAAATGAGTATAAAAATAAATCAATAGTTTCATTCAAGATTTCAGTTAGAGTTGTTCAAGAAGCTAAACAGATTTACTGTAAAATTCATTTAAAAAGACAAAGCTCCCCAAATAAGTCAAATTTGAAAGGAAAGAACAAAAGTATAAGAGTTACTATTCCATATAACTTGGAATTTGCAGTAAGACAAAGCATCACACATCAATGGAAAAACAGTGGGCTATTTGATACTGGGGAAAACAGCTTGCTATAAAGAAGAAAATTAAAATTAGGCTGGGGCTATAGCTCAGTTGGTAGAGTGCTTGCCTTGCATGCACAAGGCCCTGGGTTCGATCCCCAGCACCAAAAAAAGTAATAATAATAATAATCTACCTGATGTATACCCAATGCAAAGGAGACTTCAGAAGTATTAAATCCTTAAGTGTGATATAAAATTATGAAGGTAGCCAGGTAATCAGTACCTAGAGTCCCATCTACTTGGAGGGTAAGGCAAGAGTATCCTTTGAGTCCAGGAGCTCAAGGTCAGCCTAAGCAACATAGCAAGACCCCCATCTCACCAAAAAAAAAAAAAAAAGAACCTACAAAGTTAATAAAGAAGAAAGAAGAAAATCACTGTGACTCAGGGATAATGAAGGACTTCTGGAAAAGTCTCCAATAGCATAACCACACAGCAAAATGCTGGCATAGATACTTTTAACTCTAGACAAAAGTGGCAATAGTGTGACAAACTTAGAAGTCTTTTGCAAAGCCTCAAACTAACATCTAGAACTGGCTACTCAAAGGACCATCAGCTTTTGCACAATCTGGGGGCTTATTAGATGTGTGCAATCTTTAGCTCCATCCAACCCTGACTGAATCACAATCGGAATCCTAATAAGATCCCCAGGTGATTTCCATGCATATCAGAGTTTGCGAAGCACAATTTACTCAAGGAACTTCTGAAAGTTACTAAGAAACAGCTGAAACTCCCAAACAGAAAACTCCATGAGGAGACTAAATTGCAACTCAAAGCATGGAAAACTGAATGGCTAATATACCAGAGATTAAATCCAGGGTTTCACACACACTAGGCAGATGCTCTACTGCT